TGCCTGGCTGCCGGCCGCCATCTTGGCTGACAGTTCATTTGCATATACTCACTGATTAGCCAATGAAAAGGGTAGTGGTCGTACGCTAATTACCATGTTTCTCTTTTATTAGTGCAGATTAAAGACAATGTTGAAAAAAATTGTAGGGGTGAAACCCCAGACATCACTGTCGTATGATCTAGAAATGAAACCCACCTTAGAGGCTAAATGTCAATGAACCTGTTTCACAAACTCCAAGGCCACTGGATGTTACGGCTGCTGGCTGTGCCTTACGCAAGCACGTCCTTGGGCTGGAGGCCACCAGTCTCTCGGCCTCTACAGTGTAGGAAAGGCTGGGGCAGGGGATGCAGCCTCAGACTGGCGGCAGCTCCGGGCTGCTAAGGCAGAAGCAGAACCCAACACGGCACAGTAGCTCTAAACCCACCACCTACACTTACTCAGGCATGAGCTACCGCATATCCATATTGAAGCGTCTTGAAATCTGCAGTGATGACAGCACTGTTGCTAACTCTCTGACATTTGAGTGCTTTTAAAACTTTGACATAATAATGGCTACACTGCCATAATAATATACAGGAAAACTATGGTTTTTATAGTAACTTTTCAAATTAAGTTACTCAAAGCTAAGAGTACTACAATACACATCTAATGCTTCAGATGTCCAGATGCCTCACTTGCAACCTACCCGATATGCAACAAAAAAAAGATTTATTTAATTATTCTTTTTTAATCCTCACCTGAGGATATGTTTATTGATTTTAGGGAGGGAGGAAGGGAGGTACGGAGAGAGTCAGACAGACAGACAGACAGGCAGAGAGTGTGATGTGAGAGAGAAACAATGGTTGCCTCCAGTACGGGTGCTGACCAGGGATAGAGCCCACAACCTTTTGATGTATGAAATGATGTTCCAACCAACCGAGCCACCCAGCCAGGGCTAATTGTTCTTGTTACAGAAAGACTAAAATCACTAAGCAATAAAATGTTTTAGTAACAACAGTCCCCTAAGGTGAAGTAATCTTGGCCAGGACCATAATGAAAACAGAAAGATAATTAAAGTTTCACCACAACTATAATCAGACCAGGCAAAACTGAGAGTACAGGACTGATGATCACAGAGGTATTTGCCATGCCTAATAATGCTACGAAAATTAAGGTTCCTTTTCAATTACTGGTTTTGACGATGGGAAGAACTAAAATAAGAGAGATAACTCTGTCAACATTTCCAGCGACAGTTTAACTCCTTCCTTTAGCTGCCAAATCTTAGTTTGTTCTCCACTTAGGTGTTAGTTAACTTTATTTAAATTACTAGGAATAATTTTTTTTTACAACAAACCAAAGTACATTTATGAAACATATCCAGTTGTGGATTAAAAACACATAATCTAGTTGAATTTTTTTTACTACATCTGTTCTTTTTTCTCTCTCATCACTCAAAGAAAATCCTCAGTATAATTGTTTTAGATTTTCTAAAAGATTTTTCCCATCTCTGTACACATAATTTCAGAAACTGCAATTAGCAGAGGTAAAGTTTAGAGAGTTGTTAAAATTCATCATCAGACCAAACTAAGGTTGGTACTTGGCTGCTCACTGCCCCATTTTGGGCCTAATTCTGCCCTCGACACACCCCGTCATGGGCACTGGTGGGTAAGAGTAAAGCGGTGGCAGTGCTCCAGCTCATGATGCAATCAATCAACAGGGCTCTACCCTCAGTCTCTTTCAAGCAGCCTCACTGCTGAACAACACATCCGGAGCCCTGAAACTGGGCATGCTACTAACACAATACTCCATGGCAAGAGTGACAGCAGAGTGTCGGGAAGCCCAGGGCCGAGGGAACCGGACTTCTGTCTCCTTCCCATCCTCATATCAGATCAGCACTTATTCCTACTGAGGCTGGCTGTCTGATGCAAGATGTGAAAATAAAAGCAAGCTCCACCCAACATGATAATTTATTGTTAAAAAATTGTTTGATATGTTACATTTTTAAAGACCAAATGGAAATTTATATTATAGTGCAGTTAATCACAGATGCACCAAACTATGTAGTCATAGAGACACACCCTAGGAAGAAACATATAATATTGAGAACAGGTGAGCATTAAATAGGTTGGACTTTGAGTAATTTTCCTGCTTTTTTATTTTACAGTTACATTTATACAATGAATTTTAAAAAAACAGGAGTGAAAAATCCTACCATAACAATATACAGAGATAAAGGTATGGTAAAAAGAAATCTTTTCAGAGAACATAAAGCACATTCGAAAATAACAATAGCATGATCATATATATATATGGCTAATATGCAAATTGTCCCCACGGGAGTTCGACCGGAAGACCAGGAGTCCGATTGCTCACTATGATGTGCGCTGACCACCAGGGGGCAGCGTGGAATGAAGGAAGGCCCCGGCCGGCAGCCGGCAGCCAGGAAAGGAAGGCCCCAGCTGGCAGCCAGAAGGCCCCGATCAGCCCTGATCACCAGCCAGGCCTAGGGACCCAGACCATGCATGAATTTCATGCACCGGGCCTCTAGTTTAAACCATAAAACAGGTGACACTTTTAAATAGTGATTTTTATGAATTTAAATAAAATATTTTCAGGCCCTTTTTAATGTCCTCATCTTACACAAAGAATAAGCTACTGAGGTTTTTCTTTGGTAGGTCTTCTGTCTAAAGTGCACTGAAATAAATGATCAATCCTTCATTTATTCAACAAGAATTCACAGAGTACTTCTCGGTGGGAGATATAAATGAAGTTCACCATCTTCACATACCACACGATTGCTGCCTTGTCTCCTAGACACAAGAGAACTTGCTCATTCTGAGTCTAAATTATTAGGATATTTCTTCATTATCACTCTGCATAAATTTTTTTCTCTAAAAGTTCCAATAATTTCTGTATGGTCAAACCTAATTTCCCCCCTTAAT